CAGACTTCTGCATGCTAATATTTATTTGAAGGCATGCATTAGTAAATGGTACTAGATATTATCTTTGGAGCTGTGGATCATTGGGTTTATTTGGCAGAAAACTCTGTTATCAGTTTAGCTAAAATAAATTTTTTAAAAAACTAGCAGTTTAACAAACCTTAAAATCAGATGTTTCGTTTAAAGTTACTTGTCCGTAATTCCAGTTGTTTCCATAGTTTCCTTCTTTCTGGAAAATGATCTTTTCCAAACCATGCTCATTACTTATGCTAACTCTTAAACAGTAAACATTAGTACTGTACATGAAATACCTAGAGGGGGAAGAGCAATTTTGTATTATTAGAACAAAGTGAAATTTCATGAAAAACTATCAAGCTTTTTATTTTATAAACAGTTTTATGGAATTAGGACTAATTTGCAGTGAGCATGAAAATGAAATGAATCAGATGTTCAGATTACATCTGGAAGTTTTACTTGGTACTTCGCTATATTTTCTGCAGAGGCCTAGTTAAGTTTCATGACAAAAAACATTTCAGGGATTCTTAATATCATTTCTGTATAGAAGTGAGTAATGGATGCAGGGTGAAAAAGAAAATACTTCAAAGCTAACTGCAAGAATCAGACCTATAAAGGAGTCAAATTTTCAGGCCCGGAGTTGAGACTGATCATGGAAATCCAAACAGAAGCAGGCTTGTATTGCTGGCACACTGACTTGGATTAATATTATATATGAAAGAAAGCTATTTGATTTTATTCTTAAACAAAGTATATGTTTAGGAATTATGTAAGAATACCAAAAGCTTAGACAAGATGAATCTGAAGAGACCAAAGGCAAACTCAGAATGCGGACTCTCTCTTCTCCAAATCCAAGTCCTATGGGTGTTGAAATATAAAAGCCTGCAAGATAACGAGTACATTTTAGTCAGTACAGAATTACTGATTTTTTGTTTAAATGAGAGTTTTTACATTAAAAATAATATCAGTAATATCAAGCACAGATGGTGTTGCATAACTTGGAAGATACCTGACACAATAAATGTGAATGATTATCCCAAGTTATATTCATCAGTCAACGACATATTAAAATGAGCTTTTAAGCTTGTCGTACCCTCCTCAGAACTAGACATGAAATGGGAAACTAGTCCTTCTGAAGTCAGTGGGAGATCTGCCTTTTATTTAGTGAAGGCAGCGATTCACCTGAGTGATTTCTACTTAGTTTATAAAAATGTCTTCCTGTTTGACATTGCTTGTGATTTTGCAGAAGAACTTCCTGACATTTTTATAATTTTTATCCACGTAATAATGGGAAATATGGGTTGTGTGTTGAGGGGGGTGAGAGAATGACTACATGAATATTTTATAGCGAGGTGAAACATTATAAAAAAGAAAAAAAACATTATTTGGGGAAATTGGGTTTTTAGCTTTTTCTGAATTAATTCCTTGCAGCTGGGAATTTGAACTTCTTGCTGTCATATGGAAATATAATGTGATGCCAAGCTGCAGAAGCATTGTGATTTGTCACAAAAAAAGCAAAATCAGGCAGAATTAAAAGTCCTAAAGTAAAATTCTTGCTTTATTGAAATCATGTCTGCAATCTTAGATTTTATTCTATCTAATACATATATACATATATGCAAATATTCTATTCATAGAATCTACAAATAAATATAAATATAATTATATAATTTAAATTACATATACTATATTCTGTTATTTATACTTCTGGATTAGCTAGCTTTTTCATGTGGGAGGTTAAAGTACCTGAAAATTAGTCTGAAATCTGAATCAGGCCTTTCATTTCCTGTGTTGACTTAGAAAGCATACATTGAAATAGACATGGTGTCTAGCTTTAAGAAAATGAGCATAACATTCTTTTACAGAAAAGGTCTTCATATAGTCAAAGTGACAGTTCTCTGTCTTTGTTTCATCAATTCTCTGGGCATTCAGAATCAATTGTTGAGTATGTATCAAGTGCTTTGCTTTTCAAGAGCAGCAAAACAAAAATACACTCTCACTGAATGTGTGTAATAGCTAGATAGTAATGATGCAGCTCCCATTTTTACTTCAAATGTAGGTTGTAGAATTTGAATATTCAATATAATAGCAACATTACATACGTCAGTTTAGATCTAGCACAATGAAACAGAGAGCACCTGAAATAAATTAGCATTTTCAAGAGAGCTAGAAATCATTACCGAGTGTTTTATTAAACAAATTTTATGTTCTTTCATCTGATTTGTATTCTAGGAGTCAAGTGGGAAGATAAAACAGTGTTCTGAACATTGTTTAGAAAATGTGCATTTACTCAGAGAGAGGTGAATAATTTCTATCTAATAATATGCTGAATAATATTTTTCTTTTCCTGGGAGTAACTTCTTCCAGAATAACTTGCAATTTTTCCAGTTATTTGTCACTGAATAAGTTCTGTATAAGTCTTGCATAGAATACATATAACCATTGCAAAATCCAAATTATGTTAATTAGTTTTAGCTGGACTGACAAATCAGCTGAGAAAGAGATTGTTTGGTTTTCCTGTTAAAGCAGAAAAAACTTTTCAGAGTCTAATTGTGGGATAAGCATTCATGATGATTCTGATCAAATCTGATTCATATCAGTATTGTCTTTTTAATTAAAATCCACATTTGATATGGTCACTCTTCCAATTAAGTTGTTTTGCTATAAAAGTTTCTGGAGTGTTTGTGTGTTTTGCACGGGTTGAAAATTAGTGTGTTTGGTGGGCGATTCTAACTGGGGACACAGGTGCCCTATGTACCCTGCAGATCGACTTTATGTTAAATCAAAATTATTCTGTGACAACCATGAGGATGTCACCAGTAGATAGGGATGAAATAGAAGGGATTTCCCTAAAATGTAACTACACTTGTTTTTTTCCTTAAGGCAAACATGCAGTTATTTGACCTATAACGCTGTTGCATAATAGAAATTCCTTTCTCAGATAAGGCACTTTGGCATATTAATAGCATGAAACTTTTCAATACCTCACACTTTAATCACTTTATATATTCCTTTATTTCTTCCTTTAGTTTTGATATAGTTCCACAGCATAAAATGTTTTGTCTGGTAGCCCTGACTCATTTTTATGGCAGAATAAAATTACATCCCAACAATACAACTATGAGGAATCCATTGTACAGTGGTATAACATAAGCTAAATCAAACTTTTCTTTTAATCTGCAAGCAACTTGTATTTGATCTTACCCGACATGTTGCCAAATGTATGATCAAAATCAGGACCACTCATAAAGGGAAAGGTAGGGCCCTGAACTCTCTCCCAGTCTGAATCATCATCTAAATCTTGTATCCAGTAACAAAAGCCATCTTCAAAAGTGCAATTGATTTTCTCATAATCTGTGAATGAGAACCTCTAGTAAATAAAAATGACAGAGACGTTAAGTATTTTCTCTGAATTACGTAAGAATGAGTGACGAACCATGTAAATTTTTAAATATGTTTGAAAACTGCAGCCCACAGTGACTCAATTTCCTCTTCTATGCAATGCAACATAATTGCTCAAATAAATGTGTCATTTGTACTTGTTAACAAAACACTATTGCTGAAGGTGGCCCTACATGCCCTTGCACTCATTCATCAACCTTCTTTTTTCATCCTTCACCAGTAATGTGGTGGGGGAATGAGAAAGGACCCATTGCATAGCTAACACCAAGGGCTAACCCTGCTTTTTTCTTCTTTTCTTTGCCAAGGCCTGGATTGCTCCAGCTGAAAGGGCTCACCACCAGAGCTGAATGCTCAGAAGTGCTGTGTTCCAGGCACCAGGGATGCCCCTTTCCTTGTCCTTCTCCTTTGCTCCTTCTTTGCTCACATATATCTGCTGCAACATCCTTATCACTCTTCTTCCCATAATATTTTGCTCGGTGTCTTTTCATGGTGCCTTGAAATGCAGGTCAGCCCCCAACAAGGGCTTCCACACGACAAGAGTTTGCTGGCACTCTGGATGCTTCCTGCAGCATATCCCTTCCCAGTCACATCCCCTATTCACATCCTGCTCAAACTTTAGCGGATGAAGAAGCCTTCACTTGTCCAATCTGCATCTAAACTTTTTTCCGACTACTAAAGAACACCAATCCATGAGTCATACTGCTGCATTTTGTCGCCACTGTAGATTTACTGCATCTGGACTTTTTCCACTGCCTATTTACTGAAGCAGGTATTTTCCTGAATGTTGGTTTTACCATTCGGGACTGCTACTTGTGGCAATGAGTTAGGACTTCAGAAACTCTGGAGAGCAGGTACTGTCAGGCGATCACAGAATAATGATTAGTGTCAGTGATTCAACAGTGTTCATTACTTGCTGAGAGGAATCTGATGGAGATATGGCCAGAGTTTTACTCTTATTTAAACAGATTAACTTTGTAAGGCATCACCCTACTGCTAGATACAGGTCTGTAAACCTGTGGACAGTCTTATTGAAATCAGTGATTTGATCTTTAAAATAGTATGAAATTTCTCAAAGTGGATCTAGTTAGTGGACTGGGGCCAGAAAATACTGCTTTCCTTTTCATCTCCATTTTCTCAAGCTGAAAATATAGTTTCACCAAACTTTCAGGATAACAGACACACAAAAAAAGAACACTTACTGTTTAGTTCATTTGCATTAAATGTAGTGTACGTTGCATTAAAGCCGTTGTAATTTTCAGAATAATCGGATATAAACTGTGCTGTAGCCTCATGAGAAAAAATGTAAATTGTCTCAGGATTAGCCCCTGACAGAGAAGCTGAGAACAAATGAATAATAATATAGTTAGAGCCAAAACAATCCCATGCACATTAAAATTCCCAGTGCTGTCACAAAAACACAGTGGATTAGCTTTTTGAGTCTTAAAGAATGCCTTCCCTCTTGTACTGTGATCCTGCCTACAATAGCTTCAAAACCCTGAAGGCATTTAGCTGTTCGGCTGCCATGTAAGTATTCTGCATATCCCATCTCTCATATCCATCAATATGGATATCACCTATTGGAGAAACGTCTCTTATAGTACACATATTCAGCACTATAATCTTCATAACCATGCTTATTATGCTGTAAATGTTCTCAAAATTCACAGATATGCACTCTGAAATTCTAGAATCACAGTATTGATTACATATTTTTGTTATATGTACTTATTCTCACAGTTTAATAATTAGCACATACACTTACAGGTATTCAAAGAGTGAGGAAACTGTGAAATTACATAGGAATTTCATTTTGTGATGTATGCATGAAGGCATATAGCACAGGAACAATTGCAATGTTCTGAGAAGCAACTGGACAGGGTGCTAGATAATCTCATCTAAGCTCCCTTTTCTATGAAAGGTTGGACCAGAGGATCTTTCAAGGTCCTGTCCAACCTGGCCAGTTCTATGATTCTATGGTACAATAAATCTAAATTTTGACTTTAAATTCTAAACTAATTTAAATTCACTCATATAAATTCCTTATGTGTGAAATGAAAGGATCGATACAAGTCATCACAGAGTAAAATAGTTTCTCCTCCATCTAAAGCTGATATGATGCCAGGCAACAACAGTTAGACTAGTGACCTAGACTAGACTAGGATAAAGAAAATCCTGAATTCCTCACTGTTCTGTGAAAGTTTTTGCCTCTGCTCTTTCTCTTCTGAAGTCCTTGCCCAATTTTGCACAGACAAAGAGATTTTGCTTTTCTGAGGAGGAGCTGTTTACCTACTTGTAATGCTATATATTTGAAACAGTGCCAAATTATTAAGGAAAGACAATGGGCATCATCTTTCACACTTTTAATTATATGTGCGTTCTTTTCCTTCCTCCTTCTCAGGTTCTTTTACTTACTTAAGTGGAGAGTCTTAATCTGGAAATGTCTTGTAGTCCTTCTTTCCTCTACATTTGGTATTTCCAATACCTGGAAATCTACCCTTCAAACTGCAAAGTTTTAGGCAATACACTGAAGGACAGCCTTTAACATTGTCTTTGTGGTGTCAGTGGTCATCTCCACAGCAGTCCTTAAAACCATGCAAGTTAATGGTTGCTGCAGAGAATATTATTGAAGCAATCTCTCACATCTAAATTGAAATTCCAAAGGGGGGTCAAATTCAAAGCGGTACCGAAAGGGTAGAATTTCTCCATTCTTTCTTTTATGAGTCTTTTACTATTTCTCATTCCCATTCTCTCCTTGCTTCCAAAAATAAGGACAAATAATAATATACCTTCCTGACTTATCTCTATATATTTATCTTCAAGTATATGTATTCCACCTCTGATGGAATTCAGCTGGATAGACTGAGTCTTGTGGAAAATGGGCAAAATCCCAGTTTTCCAGAATAGAATATAGAGACAGAGATAAGGTATTACTAATATTTCAAGGTCTGAGGAAAGCAATGCCATGCTTGTAATGAATTTCAGGGAGTATCATAGTACTGCTCCCAACAGTTTCAGTTTAGATGCTTTCATTTTATGTCACTGTGTGTGATGTTACAGGATCTTCTGACAACATATTTCCAATGAAACATGGACCCCATAAGACTCTGGTCAAGTTATCAAGATTGTTCAAATACGATCTTAAAAAAAAAAAAGTATAGATTTCTTAATATATTTAGGGAAGCATTTATCTGGTCACTTCATAAGAGTAGATATGTATATTACGATCAATTGTCTAACAGGGTAACGTTACACAGATGCATTCTCCCACTTAAACATACGCATGTAATTTTTTTCACTTCAAAATGCTTGTTTTACCACTTAAGTTTTATTAATGGAAAAGTACTATTAGCTGAAAAATAACCTTACCTCTTAAAATCTTGTTTTGTCCTATACCTTCAAAAATATTTAAATTGTCTGCATATTGTTGTGTATCAAAAGAAGTGAAGTTCAGTTTAATGGATAACCCTTGAGGCACTCTAAGATAACAAGAGAAAAATAAACCTCAAAACCGAAAGTCATGTTCTAGTAATCTTTTTTTGACTGTAGTAAATTCATTGCATGCTTGAATGATGTTATGTTCAGAAACAATGTGAAATTACATTAATCAAGATTATTAATCAAGATGACCTATTTGGCTAACTTCTAGTTTGTAAAATCACCAAAGGAATAGGGCATAAAGCTTTTGTAACAGTAGAAGTAGTAGAAATACTATTTTACTCACTAGAGTTAAGTATATTTTAGGAACTGAATCTTCTAAACTCTAGAATGTGATAGTCAGCTGAACAGTTTTTTTGTGTTTTTTTTTCTCTGCATCTCATTAATTTAAAATTACTTTTTAATACATGTTATGAATAGATAACATCTCACTGCTCAGATAGACTTCCTAAAGTCAGAGGAATGGTATCATGGTATCAATATGATATCAATTTGATATCAGCAAGATATCAAAATCTATCTCCTGAAAGTCCAAAATAATGTCTCTTATGACAAAAACAGGATTTGCATGAAGGTTTGAGGATCTCAAACCCACCATTTGGGAACACATTATCAAACCTAACCATCACCCAGTAAGTTTAATAACAAAAGTCACTTTAACTAAAGTGTAAAAAATGCTGGGTTTTATTTTGCTGCAGTTATGTTCTTTCAGTAATCTATATTTAAGTAGTTCTCCCATTGCCTTTCCACTAAACATATGTGGTAGTCCAAATTGTAAAACCCTACTATCACAATCAGCTTAGCGACCTATACCACTATTTGTTGTTTTCTGGAATTGAGAGACCCAATGAAGACAGCTTTTCAACAGCAATCTGCTGGTGCTTATCAGTACCAATTAGTAGAGAAGCGTGAAGTAAATATTTTAATATTTGCATTTGGGGTTTTTTTTGGTTATATATTTCTCCATAGGAAAAAAATATCCTCGGTTTGAAAGAGTAAAACATATAGTTGAAAGGTAATCTTTCAGGAAGCTAATCTTTTAGGGAAATATTGAGCATACTGCTCTTACTTTTAAAAGGAGAGGAAATTACATCTTCATTTGGGGAGGAGTTAAATGGGGTGAAAAGGTAAGAACTTTTCCTAAAGGTAGTGGGGAAATCTTTCTAGACAAACAAAGGCAGAAGAGAAATCAAATCTTGGATGTATTATAGGGTGACTTTTAACGCATTTTTATAGGGATACTAAAAATAATAGGACAAAATGTCACTCATTGGTTACTGGAAAACCTAAAAGGTTCCCTCACAGAAACAATTCTGTTTGAAAGGGAGACAAAATTTGAGTACCAGCTTAAATTTTTCAGGCCTTAACTGTCGTTGTTGCCAGATTTTTTTAAAGCAGATAACTGGAAAATAAAACCAGATGGTTGTTTTTGTCATTGATCAATCTGTAATTACACAGATCTGCAGCACCTGTACTACATTATTTGCAATGATTCTCATGATTCTTTCCAAAATTAAACTTTTGTTAGCTACATACCTGGTATAGATATCTACCTAATACAATGCTTCTTGCAGCTATAGCAGCGTCTGAAGCAAAATTAACAGTTTAGAAGGCAGTAGCGCACTTGAGATGACTATTTATCATGCTCAAATGCTGCGACACCTTGAACTGAGGAACAAGTCAGGCTTGTATTCTGAACATACAATCTTGTGCTTTTCCTGTGACACACCTATATTTTAAAACCAGGTGTAGCCAGTAATTATTGGTGAATAGTATTGCTGAAGACGAGAAGGAACAAATGTACTAAACAGAAGGAAAACCATGACTTTTTCCTGAAGTGTCAAGGTGAAGATGAAAGTGCTGAACAAACTCAAAGGCTAGCACTTTCAAAGGAGCCTTGGGAATGAGAAGTACAAATCTTATCCAATTTTAAAGGCGTTTCCTTAATCTCCTTTGACACTCTTCTACCAAATTAATACTTCTCAGATTCAAAGAATGACCATTATTACAAAGCCATAATAAGAATTACTATCTTTCAAAGCAGTAAATTCTGAATTGGCAGTCATTGTAGGGATTTTTAGGAGCTTCCAACTTGCAATCATCTAACTTAATTTAGATTTGTACTTTAGGATGAGATTTATCACATACTATGGCTATGTTTTTTTTCTCCCTGGCCTATGAAGTGGACCTAGAGTGTCAGAGTCAAATAGCTGTCCCTCCCTGTAGGTACGTATCCTTGATTAAACAAATTCCACTTCTTGTGCCTCTAGCTTAAAAGGCATTTGGTGCTATTATGTCAAATGATACTCATGCACTTTTAAAATATATTCCTAAATGACTTAGGAGCACAGGTACTGTTAACTCCCAGATGAAATGTGTACCCATAAATTACAAGGGAATTCTTGAAAATTCCATGTGTTAGTAACAGTTATATCATATAAAACCATCACCTAAAGACTAGTATTTACTGTAATACTTTGAAATAAATATCTTGCAACTATTTTGAGTTATGTGATTTATTTTGAACTTACAAATATGTTCCTGTGCATGCATATAATACACAAGATTTCTCAAAATCATACCTAAGAATTTTTGTAAGTGGGAAAATTATTGATATAGTTATGGGGTTTAGGCATGCGAGTTTTTAAAGAAAAGTTACATAAATCCAAAGGAGAAAATGCTATTACATATTTTCCATGCTGGGTTATTTGGGAATACAAACAAATGGCATAAGGTTGATGTGCAGGGAACAATATCACCTCATAATCAAAAAAATGTTAGGTAGAAAATTATTGGAAAATGGCTTACAGTATAATCCATTGGCAAACAATATTTGCATTATACGGTTTTGGATAATTCATAGAGTGAAAAAACCCAGAGGAATCAGTCAACATAAATTTTCCGTCACAAACTGCAGCTGTAAAGATATAATGAAGAACATTTGTTAAAATGCCATTTGAAAAACAGAATCAGAGCCAAGATGAGGGCAACCTTAGGTATTGGTTTACAGGGATTACCTTGGAAATGCTTTGTAAGCAACAAGGGGAAGACAAAGTAAAACACACTACCAACTTACTCCCACTTCTAATTCCCATGACTATTTGATCTCAAAGTACTATATGAGAAGAAAAGCCGTACAGATAATTCACTTTTAAATTAGAGACAATCCAACTATCAAACTAGTCCAAACCAATCCAAATAATTCCAATCCAACAGTTGGATTCAACGAATCCAACTCTCTTTCATTTTATTTTATACATTTGTAAGGAAACAGGATCTTGCCTTAACAGTTCTTATCTATAGCTCCTTTAAATCAGGAAACTGTGTTTGCACTACCAGAAACAATTTGATATCATGTGAATAAAAGCCAGAAGGGATACGGTTGGCTATCGCTATCTCTACTTTTATGAGCTTCCTAGTTCCCTGCCTTATATATTACTAAGTATTCAAAGAGATAAGTGGATATCCCAAGTTTCCTGCCAGCTATCGAATTCATTCATCTGAGGTAAATATCATCCATCATCACATATTTTTTCAAAAAGCTTTTATTAGTTTTATTTCCTTGGTGCTGTTATTGCATTCTACTCATGTTCTTCAGTTTAAAAATCAGTTATTTAAAAAAAGAAGTATTTTTAAGCCTCAGCAAGATTGGAAATGCTAATTCATGTAGAGTTATTTTATTTCAGCAGACACTGAAGCACTGTTGAAGCTTTTGCTGCATCTCTTGAACATTATGTTAGGAATCTGTCTGAAGATGGTTTTTCTTCAGTTTTTCAGAAAGCATCATAGGGCTTTCAAACAAGGATAAAATCAGTACCGTACATGATTTTCTGGAGATGTAAGGACAAGTTCATCAATTTAAGGCAGATAATCAGAATTTAGATAGAGCTTTTCATTAACATCAGAAATGAAATCATACCTATAATGACTATCCAAATTATGAATAATCAATCACATTGAAAATTAAATGGAAATTTTATTGAGCATAGTCCCCCTCTGGGAAATGATACATAAAATGATAAATCCGGGCTCCTTGTCTTTCATTTTATAAGTGCAAAATTCTTTCTGACTACCACTGTAGCAAACACAACATAAAAATTAAGCTTTGTTTCAGTCAGGCTCAGGCATGCACTGTTAATAAAGACTGTGCAGAATGAACTTCACTAACGATGATTAGTCTAATGCATAAGCTGGAATAGAAACATATTCCCTTTTGCAATCTTCATGGCCTTTGAGAGGAAAACAGAACATGTAAGATTTTAAATACGTGGAGAAAAAAGGTCCATGAAAGAGAGAGTTACTAGTATGTATAACCTTTTTATCAGAATAGGCTACAGCTTTAGAGCTGAGTATTGGTATAGAAGTACTTTTTCTGTCCACTTTAATTCATGTGTTTCCTGTCTTTACCAACGGGCTAATATTTACAACCGTTTCCCATTGAGAAGAATAAAATCAGTGTGAGAAGAAGGAAAGCGCCCAGCTTGTTATTAATGAAGTGTGCAAAAAAGTGGTACTGTTACCAAGCGATTAGCAAGACACATCCTGATCTAAAAAGGAGTTTATAGCACTGGCAGTAATAAAAAGAGATACAGCATACTGTTCTAATAAAAATAATGACAAAAGTTTGCTCTTGTCAACAATTCATTTCTGTTCTTCTTGTTTCCTTTTATTTGTTTCTTCTTATCTGTTAAGAGACAGTGAGTAACTTGAAACGGGACAGAAAGATTCAGGCAAAAGTCCTTAGGCTGCTCATCCACAGCCTAGCAATAGTCAGTGCTTAGTATCTCATGAATGAGCAGGAAGATAGCTGGGACTGCTCCTATTTCCCTGAAGAACCTCCCAGTGCTTCCTCGTTGCAGGGAGGAGGCAGCTGTGGTCAAAGGCGGACAGGGTCACAGAAGTCACTACATTTCTGCTTCTCCTGGAGCCCTCAGAAAAGCCTCAGTTGTTCTCTTAATGAGACAGTAGACATCTTTTCTAGGAACCACTTTCACTGCTTCCCCAACATGCATCTTGCTGTCCATTTCTATTTACTTATGTTGCACATTCGGAGGGCTTAATCCTGTTACCCTTGAATTGCAGGGAGAAGCTCCCCAAACTGGTCAGATCAAGCCCACACATTTCACTTGACAGGACCTTTCCCTGCCAAGGGCAGTACATTACTTCCTGGCTTACATATGATTAATCTCTCTCAGTACCGTAGTGATGCTGTGAGGTAGGTAATCACAAAATGTTAGCCTAGACATATAATAACTGCAAAGAGAGTCTGCAGAGAGAAACACCTCCTGGGAGCAGCCTCCAGTCTCCCTTTCCTTACACTTATGTGCCACCTGGCTGCTTTTCAGCAATGTCAGCCATTATTAATAGATGCTGTTCAGACTTTCACATTTCTCTAGAGACCCTTTCATTGAAATTGCTAACTGCACTTTTGCAATGCCTTTTGTTACTGCACTGCATTGCAGAGCCAGAAAGAAACCTTTCAAGATAATTTTAATCAATAAAACCAAAAAAATGAAGGTGCCTGAATCTCTGCTGAGAATCTGAGATTTTCCTGAATTCTGTCTAATACAGGAAGAGACTGTTAAAATTCACCCTTGTATCCTATATTTTAAAATCACTAACATATTCTAAAATCAGAAGTACTAGAGGGAATAATAATCAAGATGAAAAAACAAACCAAGTTGTTTAAAGGGCAACAACTCCGTTGTGTGCAAGAGCACTTGCAGCACGAACTATGAATTGGCTGTAAATCTCACTGTGAAACTCTGAAGCACTTCTGAAAATCTAGACAATTTTAGCTTTTATATGAGTGTATTGAGTTACTCTAGGGATGGGACAGAAGTGAAAAATCAAAGAAGTGGAAAAATTGTCAGGTATCCCAAACGTGCATATGGCTTATTGCCACTCATTCCACTGGTTTTGCAAAGTCTGCTAAGGAACCTAAATATATAAATTTAGAAAAGCTCTGGGGTTTTGGATGGAAAATTTTAAGACTGAAAATGTGACATAAGAGTCATGGAGCAACAATTTGTCCTCCAGCCAGAATTGTCTTTCTGTAAGGTTATGAGCTGAAACTGCTAAACTAATGGTAACGGAATGAATTGCTTGGAAATACCAGGCATCAGTGAAGATCACTGATGGGGCAAATCATCCAGCTCCCTGAAGTGGACATTCTGTCTATTTTTACTTGTATGCACATTCCTGAAATTTTCAGCTCAATTGTGCATATTCTTTAGTGACTGTTAAAACAGTGATTAAGAAATAATATCCTCAGTTACAAAGGAGCAGGGCATTCACAACTTCTATTTGGTAGAGATTCGGGGAGAGATGCAAACCAGATCCAAAAGCCACGCGCATAGGAGGCAATGCCTCAGCTCAACAACTCTACTCTACAGGCACAATTCATAACTTAAATCACTGTGTAGCCTCCAGGCCACAGCTGAATCATGTCTACATAGCTTTGACTGCAAGTAGGTGAGCTTATTTTTCTCTGTATCTACCAATGTATGAATATCAATTAAATTCTGTCCTATGTAACAGGTCTGACTAATATCTTTAATAAAATGTGAGCAAAACTTGTAAACTCAGACCTAATCATTCTTAGTAACTAAAAGGCATTCATTTTGATGAGATGTATAATACTACTTTTTAACTATAAGGATCTGCATTTTTTCATTTAGCTATATCTAAAATAAAATGAAATAAACCAAAACAAAACAAAATAAACAAATACCCCAAACAAAATCCATGGCTTAAAACATGATGGTAGAAAATGAATGACTGAATAACTCTTTGGGGTTGTGCTACCTTAACACTTACAGCGGAACAAAGGTCTGGCTGAGGCTACTTTAGGATCTTCTGATTTCCTCAACTGTAGAGGGACCTGGTGAGAGCCCATCATTGTTATGATGTAGCTCGATGCAGCTGTTATGCTAAATAGACATTTGGATGTGTTTCAGTGGATATTCTACTGAAGTATTTTGATGGATATATTCCCCAAAAAGTTCAACTAAGTCTCCCTTCTGAGTTGGCTGCACTCAGAAAAATGCAGGTAATGTACAGGTCTGCAATTCACATTTTTTTTTCTGAAGAAAATTCCACTTCTGGCAGAAAGGGTCACCTTGCCACCAGAATCAGGTTTGCAGATTCTTTAAAAAAAATTGGTCTTTTACTTGCTTTGTTTTTAAACCAGAGCCCAGCATTTTACATGTTTCTGAAAGCTCAGACCAGGCTGCCCCACCATTATTCTCAGGAAAGCTCAGAAGGCTGTTCTCACAGCGGAAGGGAAACAAGCTTTCCAGATTTCTAGCACCAAATTCTACATTTCAAAAACAAACAAACAAAACACTCAGGGAGTTAATTACTCCAACTTCTAAAACATTTGCAAAGTTCTCTTTGCAAGAGACTTTTAACTGAGAGCTGAGACTGTGAAGAGCAATGCAGACAACATTAACACATGTGCCTCCCCACCAAAAAGCTGCACATGTACTTTGGTAAGCAGCAACATGGTCAGGCTCCTTGGTAAAATTTCACAGTTTTCACTGCTACATGGAGCAGTGGCTGCTCTGCACAAAAAGGCGGTCAGGGAAACTAGGCAGTCAGATAAAGGCAAACAAACTCACTGACGCTGAAGGTTATAAACTTTTTCCGTGAAAAACCAGTCAGGCTTCAGGTTTGTAAGATTTTCACAGAATGACAGAAGGGTTGAGGTTGGAAGAGACCTCTGGAGGTCATCTGGTCCAACCCCCTGCTCAAGCAGGGCCACCTAGAGCCAGTTGCCCAGATTTTCACATCACCCTCTTGCATCTCCCGTTGTGGTGCCAGCAGCTCAAACATTTGTGTCAGAGTCATACAGACACTCCCACTCCCTAGCGCTCGGTGTAGTGAGTGGCAGGTGGGTGGCCAACAAAGAGTTAGAGCTCCTGCCGGGGCTCCATCATGCCGTGGCAGCAGTCACACTCGCCAATCTGAGTGTACACAGTAAGCCGGGAAAAGCTGTTCGTAGTGTTTTGTACGATGATAGTCTTAATGCCGGAATCAAAAGAGAAACCTCTCTTCTGACTCCAGATATGCCATTAGGTGGTTTCTGACACTAGGTAACGTGACTTTATGTCTGTACAGTGTCACAATTTTAATTTATTTGGAAAGAACATTATTTGATATTATTGGTACACAACTTCACGTGACATTTCTATATTATTTTATAATTTACATTATATTTATTTATATTATTAATATTTATATAGTAAAAATAATTTCCATATTATTTTATATTAATATAGCCAGATTGTAATATTTCTTCATTATTTATTAAACATATTCTTCATTAATGAGAATTTTAAAGAAAATTGTTTCCATTTACAAGATAAAGATTATAACAATCATTCTCGTTATTACTTTTAGTAGAATTGATTTGGACTTCACTGTGCAGTTTATTGTCTATAAACTATTTACAAACTACTGACCAGTTTAAATATGTTTAAAAAGACTTATTTACAGGGGTTTACAATCTTACCACATCTTTTTTCAGATTCATCTGAACCATCCGGGCAGTCCAACACTCCATCACAAAATAAATCTTTTCTAATGCAGGTTATACCATCATCACAAAG